GAGAGAGAGAGAGAGAGAGAGAGAGAGAGAGAGAGAGAGAGAGAGAGAGAGAGAGAGAGAGAGAGAGAGAGGGGCCGCAGCCTTGGTCTTCTGCCCCTTGAAATAGGCTTTTTGTGTTGTAAGGAGGTTGATAAGACATGCATATATAGGGAAATTGTCGGAATTCACCATTGCTACTGTTATTGTTTATTTTGATTATGATGATTTTTCTATATTTACAACGGGTTGCGCGACGCTCTTCGTGTGTGCAGCACACACCTATACCTCTTCGTCCACCGAATCCTCGTCTTCCACCTCCTCCTCCTCCCCCCCTCTCCCGTCCGCCACCTCTCTTTGTCCCACTCCCCCGTCTCCTGCTTCACTGCGTTGTCCTCCACTTCCTCCTCCTTCCTTTCCTCGCCCATCATCTCTTTTCGCACAAGGCTTCCACCAACGCAAAAAAACCGTCTGTCCGCAAATGCATCTGGCCGTGTTTGAGGTGAGGTTCTCTCTCTCTCTCTCTCTCTCTCTCTCTCTCTCTCTCTCTCTCTCTCTCTCTCTCTCTCTGTGCAACACCGGGAGATACGTGTATAGAGGTGTACTATATGGAGTATGTGGTACCATGTGGGGTAGGCAGTGTTTTGTGGCCTGGGTACTGTGTAGGCTGTGCAGCAATTCGTGGGCTGGGCAGTACTTTGTGTTTGCTGGGAGGCACTAAGTGGGCTTCAGGGCTACTTCTGTGGAAGATGCACTCGTGTTTTTCCCCTCAGAAACACAATTTTGAGGAATGCAGCTTCGTTAGATTATTCCTACAAGTCGAATCCTTGAAAAAATGTGAAAATGTTCCACGTTTGAAGTACCAATCCTAAAAAGAAAAGGAAGCCAAATTGTCCCAAAGTTCAAAGAACCTCGGGGGTGGTGTTTCATGGAGTGGAGAGGGCATACACGACGTGAAGAGGGCATACACGTAGTGGAGAGGGCATACACCGATCTGGACAGCGGCGGCGCTCTATTGGCTGAGAGCTGGCTGAGAGCTGAAGCAGAACTCAGAACTTTTTCCTTTTTGCGAATGACGTCGCCCTGGGTTGCACAGTGGTGGTGCCCGACCCACGGGGCAGTGTTGGGGCTGTTCCAGTCCCTTATCACAATGGTGCAAACGCTACCCTGTGGCCGTTTCTTCGCGACCAGGGGCCTCCATAGCGGAGTCTCTGTAGTGCTGTACCAGTCCCTTATCATAATGGTGCAAACGCTACCCTGTGGGCGTGCCCAGGGCCATAGCGGAGTCTCCGTAGTGCTGTACCAGTCGCTTATCTCGATGAGGTGGGGGCCAGTCGCTGCACCTCCGCCCGCGGGGACCTACATAGCGGCGTCTAATAGTTAATATTGCTGTTTGCATGGCACCCAACAATATCCTCCAAGGTCCCACTAATGATGGTTTTTGGGGTCGGCGGGCTATCTCTAGATGGTAGGACATCAAGTATGTCCAGGCACATTGAACCCATGACCTCCTGAATGCAACTTCTGTGCCTTGCCAGCTGAGCGAGGCCCTTTTGGTAGGACATCAAGTATGTCCAGGCACATTGAACCCATGACCTCCTGAATGCAACTTCTGTGCCTTGCCAGCTGAGCGAGGCCCTTTTTTTTTTTTGTTGATGCATGCTTCCTCCTTCCCGTCCTTCTTCTTTTTCTTCTTCACCACTCGTTTGGCAGGTATTGTTTCTGTTTTTGGGGTAGAGGATCGCGGACATACCAGGAGTTGCCTCTAGTTTGGTGGTATGGTGGGTCAAGAAAAGACCCGAGTTTGGCTCTTGTTTAATGATATGGTGGGGCTAGTGACGTATATGTGTTAGCATCAGATGTGTTCTGCAGCGGTTTTAGTAGACTGGAGGTTGAGCCTCTATGGTTGGTCAAGAACAGACTAGAGTTAGGCTCTGATTCCGTGAAGGCAAAGGCTACGGAGACGATGGAGTGAGGCCCTGGTTTGATGAAGGAAGAGGCTGAGAAGGCAACCGAGTTAGGCTCTGCTTTTTGGTGCTGGTGGGACCACTTAAGCACCGGTGTTAGCCTCGTGAGGCGTTTCGGAGTTGTCGAAGTCTAGCGGAGGCTGAGGCTGCTTTTTGGTGCTGGTGGGACCACTTAAGCACCGGTGTTAGCCTCGTGAGGCGTTTCGGAGTTGTCGAAGTCTAGCGGAGGCTGAGGCTCTTCATTTTTTTATTTTATTTTTTTCGTTTTCTATGCCCAGGGTGAAGGGCGAAGGACCAGGCCCACGGTGATCACTGGCGGCAGCAGCTTGTCCTGACAGGATAAGCCACCTACCCTACCCTTCCCCACATTAATTCTCACCGCGCACCACCTATGCCTACTATCTTACCTCAGTGTGACCAGCACTCAGGACCATTACCCTACCAATGTCGAAGGTAACTTGGACCAGACAGCAGTGATAAGCACCCAGGCTGGGCAACTCCCTGGCCCTAGTGAAAGCGGAAGCGGACGAACCTTGCCATAGGGAACTTTGGATGCCAGGCTCATGCAATGTTTTTATACAGGCCCAATATCAGAGAGTCTACCCAGCATGAGTACCTAGGCAAGGCAAGCTGGCACCCACGGACACATCCTACCGTCCTTCCCCTGCCTTACCCAAGGCTACACTGTAGGCGGAACGCAAACCAGTGGCAGGCCTTGGATGGCGGACCACAAACTCATCCTCATGCCCACCAGGTTCACCGTTGTGGCCCAACTGTTGCTGGGTATGAGCGTAATGTCAGCCATTCGGTAAGTACGGTATATGAATAATTCGGCCAGTCCACCTCAGTGTGGTATGCCCATAATTTTGCCTGGGTATGTCTGTAATTTGCGCATTTCGGTAGTTGGTTATGACTGCAATTTTGCAGTACCAACCTGGGTCCACCTCCATCCTGGGCATGCAAATGGTTTTCGTCGGCCGTTTTCCAGGTATAGATGCAAATCGGCACTGGGACTGGGTATAGCGGGTATTCCCATCTTTAAGTGGCATGCAGCTGCGATTTTCCCAAATGAAAAAAAAAACAAGAAATCACTTGAAGCTGGGCTACGAGCCGTGCCATCCAGATCCCCAAAGCTGGCATGGGACCTGCCCGGGACAACTGGCCGGTCAACTGGGGCAGGGTCCTGGCCCATGTCCCGCCAAAAATAATAAATAATATATCTTTTTGAAAAAAAGTATGTTGTACTACCATATTTTTCACAGAAACCGAAATTAAAATGAAATAATGTAAGGAAAATCATCTGATGCCCTGGGCCCGATTCCCAGCTGATACGCAACACATCTTTGTATAGGGATGCTGGACTCAGTTTCCAGCAGGTGTAGCTCCCCACCAATAGATGGAGCCTTCGACGCTGGGGCTCCTATCACCTGGTTAAGTAAGTTTTCCCGCATGTGAAGTTCAAAAAAAGAAAACACAAAAAACAAAAAGTATGGATGCCCTGGACACGGACAACCCGGACAACCAGACACGTGTATGGGCCGTGTGTCCGGATAAAACCGGACATCCGGTTAACTGGACATGTTACCGGATATACAGACAACCGGATCTGGACAGTCAGGTTGGGTGCACCAGTGTCCAGGTGTCCCGCTTAAAAAAAAAAAAAAAAAAACAATTTGCACAATGAGACACACACACACACACAGGTTTGTGGGAGTGGTCCAACATGCTCATGAAGTTGGAAATATTAATGTACGAACTTCAAAGTTTGGTACTTCAAATCTTGAACCGTTCGCTTGCCTGTCTGCCCATTGCCGTCTGCTCGCCCCGATGTCGGATCCCCCTCCCACGTCACCCTCCCCCCACACCCCCCCGCATCCTCCGTCCCCCCTCCGTTACATCGTTGTCCCTGCCCGGGCAGGCCTCCCCCCCTCGTCTCACTCCCACCACGGAAGTTCAAGAACCGAAAAAAACAAAAAAACAACACACACACACACACACAGAGAGAGAGAGAGAGAGAGAGAGAGAGAGAGAGAGAGAGAGAGAGAGAGAGAGAGAGAGTCGCCCATCTGTTCATTGCCACCTGCCCGCCCTGTTGCCTGACTCCCTTTCCCTCATCACCCTGTCCCCAGCGTCCCACTCACCCTCTGTCCCTCCTTCGCTACCTCGTCCCCATCCCGCCGGCGGGAGACAAACACGGCGATACTGCCCAGGGCCAGTCCGGTTGGGACAATGGTTCACAAAAGACAATGCAAATAAATTTCTAGGGTCCCCCAGGACAGGGAAAATGGCCTGGGGACCCCGATTTCTCTCTTCGAATATGTTCAAATCAGGGTCCAACCGGACCCTCCAAACCGGGCACCGGACCCGGCGCCGGACATCGGACTGACTGGATGGGAATCCAGACATCCGGTTGGCAACCATGTTTTAAAGGCCTTTCAACCCCTTTCAAGCCCCTTTGAGGCCTTTAACCCCCCCCCCCCCCCCCTGACTCTCCGAAAGTGACATGCTCCAAAAGTGACATGAACCGAAAAAAA